TTAAAAAAATTTAAATTATTTTTTCTTAACTCATCGATGACCCTTTAGGTTATTCTCCAATGTTATTGGGCCTATTATCAATACTATAACTTGTCTACACTACCTTGTTCGTTCATGACAAAAAGAAATCTATATTAACTCTTTTATTCACCAAAAAATAGTAAGAACGAGAGACAAAGGAATAAAATTCCAATGGGAATACTTATAGGTGACAACTTTTATATATAATTTGTAACTGTTAACTCTTAAATAAGAATGTTTTTATAAGTAATTTTAATATAATTTGTTCTGGGAGTTCTATTTTTTTTTTATATTAAGTGATTTTTTCATAATTATGTATTTTTTAATTCGAAATTAATTTAAATATTTATAATATTTTTATTTTATTTAATATAATGAAATATTTATTATTAATAATAAAATGATATGTTTCATTTTTAAGCATTTATGTAACTAACGTTAAATCTTTTAAGGATTACGTATGTTTATAAACAAATTCAATGTAAATAAAAAAAGTAAATCAAATTAATCAAAAGTCAAATTAATTGAAAATAAAAAAAACTAAAAAATATACTCGTGTCTCCAACCTTGAAAAATAATTAAATTTTGAATTTAATTTTAAACAACCAGTTAAATTTGAATTCAACTATTTATATATATTTATAAAAGTAATTTTTTACTTAATTTATATAATTATCTACCTCTATATTTAATTTGAGTGTTAATTTTTAAACAAGAGTATTTTTTAATATTAATTTTTTCATCATGTCAAATAATTTTTTCGTGTTATATATTTTTAATATATTTCTTCAAAATTTATTTTTTAATAATTTATGTTTAATTTTATTTAATAAAATATGTAATATTAAAAATTTAAGTCTATTTTAATTTTATAAAATTTAAAAATAGACATATAATATATCTTTAATTATTTATCTAAATAATTTAATTTAATTTAATTTAATGATGCATGTGTCCAACAAAAAAAAGATATTAGTTTATTTATAAAAATACAATACTGAAAATTATATTTTATAATTTTTCTTTCAAAATTATATTATTTATTATCTTTCAGGTATTTGTTTTATCATTGAAGGTGTTTGTTAGTTTATTTATTTTTGCTAATTGTTAGTTTATTTATTTATTTATTTTTGGCTATTAAACAAGGTTTAAAAACCCAACACAAACAACAACTTAGGAAAGCAGCCTTGGCTGTAACACTCTAAGAGAGTCAAGATGTAAAAAAAGTTCTAAATGCTCAAGAGCCTCATCAAAAGTAGAACAATTCAACCCAATCTCAGAACCACTCTTAGCAAGCCAATCAGCACATTGATTTGCTTCTCTCAAGACATGCTGGACTCTAACAAGCTTAATCTCACTAATCAAATTCCTTATTTTACAAAAAATTGAGAAATAAGGATGTCTACAGTCTTGAATATTTAAAATAAGAGAGATGACTTCTTTGGAGTCATATTCAATCCATATAAGATGGATATTTTTGGATATCACAAGCTGGAGACCCCAAAAAATACCCCAAAGCTCAGCCAAAAACTGGTTATAAATATGCCTTTGTCATCACGAATTAAACCACCACAGCTATCTAACCCCATAGATTGAGAAGCAGCACCATTTACATTAAGCTTGAGCTGCTCATCAAGAAGAGGCTTCCACTTAACAAGACTATATCTACTCCAAATGCCATACTTTTTTCTCTGATTATCCCTGTCACAGGAAAGGAAATAATCAAAATCAAGCAAAATTTTATGGAGAAGAGCTGCATTAGACATAGGGTTGTTTTGAAAAAAAACACAAATTCTATTCTTCCATAAGTTCCAAACAACAATACCAAAAAGTTTATTCCAAACAGTGTACAAAGGAAAGTTCAATTTAGACAAATTATAAGTCAACCAGTTAGAAAGGTCAAGACTAAGAAAAGGGGACTAATTATTAGGGGGAAGGATTTGCTTCCAAATAGCTGTCGCCGCCCAGCAATTACGGAGAACATGACTAACAGATTTAGGAGCTGCCTGACATCTGAAACAAATAGAGGAATTAGCCATATTACGATTAGCTCTTTCAACATTAGTTAACAGCCTGTCATGAGCAATTTTCTATAAAAAAGTGGAAATCCTACGAGGGCCCTCCCAATCCCAAACCAGTTTAAATAAATTAGAATTTTCAGAAAAGGAAGACTTAGCATTGGAGATTAAATTGTAAGCAGATTTTATTGAAAAGTGTCCATCATTAGAAAGCTTCCAAAACATCTTGTCCTGACCACTAGAAATAACAAGTAGATTGATCTTAGCTATCAACTCACAAAACTGAGTAAGGAGGAAATTTCCTAATTTTTTACCAATCCCATTACCCCTGAACAGCAAAAAGGGCAACTGGATCATTTAATTCATTATCAGGAATGTCTTTAATAACATAACTTAATAAATTTTGATTAGGCGGAATCCAGTTATCCTTCCAAAACCTGATAAATAAACCATCGCCTAAAATCCAATCTATCCCATTATAAAAACAGTCCCAGACCGACACCATGCTCTTCCACAAAGGGGAGGATTTTTGGTTAATACATAAGGAATGATCTTTTCCAGGGGAGAATTTATACTTACTACTAAGGACTCTAGCCCACAATTCACCAGGAGTATTAATAAACCTCCAACAAAGTTTCATAATAAAGACCTGATTCACAAGGTTAATATTTCTAAAACCTAATCCTCCTTCATTTTTGGGCTTACAAATAGTCTCCCAACTAATCAAATGACATTTTTTTACCATTAAAAGACCCCAAATAAACTTTTTACAGATTGTATTAATTTCTTTACAAATAACTTTTGGAATAATTATGGATTGCATGAAATAATTAGGGATGTTCATTATACAAGCTTGAGTCAATGTCACTCTGCCAACAAAGGAGAGAGACTTCATTTTCCAACTTGAGAGTTTCTTCCTGATTTTGTCAATAAGAAAAGCAAACTCATGTTTAAAGGGATTGAGATGACTAATGAGAATACCTAGATATTTACCAAAATGAATGGACTTTCTGAAACCTAAAATAAGACTAATATCCTGAATTAAAGGAGAAGAACATTTTTTTGAAAAATAAATAGAAGACTTATCTTTATTAATAGACAAACCAGAGGTTGCACAAAATAAATTTAACATAGAATTAATAATCTCAGCATGATGATTATCAGCTTTAGCAACTAAAATGATATCATCGGAAAAAAAAAAAAGATGAGATATTTTAGGGCCAGCAGAACTGAAAGAAAAAGGGGTTCATACACAATCATTCACCCTATCCTGAATTAAATGAGTAAGTTTCTCAATACACATCACAAAGATATAAGAAGAAATAAGATCACCTTGCCTAATTCTCCTACTAGGCTTAAAAGCTAGAAGTTCTGCCATTATTCCAATTAATAGACATGGAAGAAGTGGAAATACATTTGTTAAAAAGATATGAAGTCTTATTATTAAAACCAATTTATTGAAGAATATCAGCAATGAAACTCCATTTGATTTTATCATAGGCCTTTTCAAGGTCAATCTTAATAATCATGAACCCATTCTTATTTTTCATTTTTTCAAAAGAGTGAACAAGTTTCTGCAAAATTAGGGTATTGTCAAAACCCTGCCTTCCGAGAATGAAACTAGTTTGATTAGCAGAGATAAAGAAAGACAGAGATCTCCTAATTCTATTCGCCAAAATTTTAATTATAATTTTATAACTGACATTACATGAAGCAATAGGCCTAAAATGATTCAAACTTTCAGGGCTATTATTTATATTAGTTTATTTATTTTACATTAATTGAGAAAGACTCTTGTATATCATGTCTTTTTATATAAATTTTATGTTTTATACAAACATAAATTTAAATTAAAAATAATATAATAAAATAATTTATTTGTTTTTATATAATGAAATTTAAAATAAAATTATAAAATTTGAATTATCTAATTTGATCTAAACTATTTTTATTTATATTAGATTAAAAATTAAACTAATCCAGATCAAGCTCTAATATATTTTTATAATTAAATTGAATCACTTTTGTTAAGAATTAATCCAATCCGTGAACTATTTTTAATAAAGACCAAAATCATCACTAATAAATTATTTAATATTTATTTAGCACTAAAATTATTTAATACAGCATATTGAATATTCTTTAACTTTTATTTTTTCATTCCGATATTCTTAAACATATAATTTAAGTATGAGAACTTTAAATAAAATAATTGTACTTATATGTAACAAATTTTCTATATCTTTTTTTTTATATATTTTTTTATAATTTTATTATTTTTTCTAAAAAATAATTATTAATAAATACATTCTATTATTTTAAAAATACAAAAGTGTTTTAATTTTTCAGAAATATCGTTTTAGTTCTGAGATAACAAGCGTCAATACAGTATCTGATGAATTATGCCAACGATGCACAATGTCAACGACAAATGATTTCTCAGGATGTGGATGAAACGACATCGTGTAAGGCTGAGTCAATAAACAGAAGTGAAGAAGTAACATGTTATTTTTAATATTTTAAAACTAAATTTATTGAATTAAAATTACCAAACACAAAAGATGTGACGCATTTGTAATGGGTTTACCAGGTCTACCAATGGCCATTTTTGTTGGGTTCAAAGCACTGCTCGTTGTTTACTCTCATCCCTGAACAAACCCGCACTAACCGCAGTTGTGAGAGGTTCTCTCTTCCAACAAACTCGCCCAGCCACTCACAATTTTCTATTAAGTTAACACCCAAATCTCTCTTCCATCCATCTTCAAACTCTACTTTCAATCTTCTAAGTTTGGATTAATCTGCTTGATCAGTAAGTTGAATCTCATTCTCTTTCTAATTTTCTGAAGTGGGTTTGTGATGGATCTTTCAATGTTTATTTGAATTAGTAGTGTTATCTGTGTTTCCTGCTACGTTACTGTCCTATTCCTAAATTTATTAGCCGTTTTGTTCAGGAAAGTCACAATGGTTGATCAGGTCCAACATCATCCTAGAATCGTTGAGAAGATTGCAGGCCAACTGCATCTTCGTTCCAGCCTTCATTCGTATAACCAGAGGTGCTCATTTGGGAATTACTCAAATGCTGCATTGCAAAATCCGTTGATGCCAACATGGAGAGCTAAAAGTGATGTGTATAGTGTTGCAACAACAGTCTCTCCTGTCTTTGTTGCAGCTCCAGCTGAGAAGGGACATTTCCTTATTGACTTCCTCATGGGTGGAGTTTCAGCTGCTGTGTCCAAAACTGCTGCTGCTCCCATAGAACGTGTTAAACTCTTGATACAGAATCAGGATGAGATGATCAAAGCTGGTAGACTTTCTGAGCCTTATAAGGGTATTGGTGATTGTTTCAAGAGAACAATGCAAGAAGAGGGAGTTGTTTCCTTGTGGAGAGGTAACACTGCAAATGTCATCCGTTATTTCCCCACTCAGGTTAGTATTGTTGTTTTTGCAACTTTACTTTGTCCATTCTAATTCTTTTGGCTTGTTGTATGGGATGCTAATTTTTCTATTTGTAATTCAAATTCTACTAGGCTTTAAACTTTGCATTCAAGGACTATTTCAAGAGACTTTTCAACTTCAAGAAAGATAAGGATGGTTATTGGAAATGGTTTGCCGGTAATCTGGCCTCGGGTGGTGCGGCTGGTGCTTCGTCTCTTTTGTTTGTGTATTCCCTTGACTATGCCCGTACCCGTCTAGCTAATGATGCAAAGGCTGCGAAGAAGGGTGGAGAAAGGCAATTCAACGGTCTTGTTGATGTGTACAAGAAGACATTGGCTTCTGATGGTGTTGCTGGTCTTTACCGTGGTTTCAACATCTCTTGTGTTGGAATCATTGTGTATCGTGGTCTCTACTTTGGAATGTATGATTCCCTCAAGCCAGTTCTCCTTGTTGGATCTTTGCAGGTTGATTTCATCCCTTCGTCATATGTTATTTTTGGTCTCTGTTATTTGATCAAGTACTTTGGCTGCAATGACTTGTGTGTGATTGAACAATGCTGTTATCTTATTATTGTAGTTTTGTTTATTCAGTCAGGACCTAAATTGATATATTATTCACAAAATAGGGCATAGAATGTTCTAATTCTTTTAAATAACTTCTAAAATCTTTATTTGCTAACAGCTGTTGTCATTTTCTTTGATCATTGCAGGATAGCTTTTTCGCTAGCTTTGCACTTGGATGGCTCATCACCAATGGTGCAGGTTTAGCATCATACCCAATCGACACTGTTAGAAGAAGGATGATGATGACATCCGGGGAAGCTGTCAAATATAAGAGCTCCATGGATGCATTTTCACAAATCCTCAAGAACGAGGGTGCCAAGTCCTTGTTTAAGGGAGCTGGTGCTAACATCCTCCGTGCTGTTGCTGGTGCTGGTGTGCTTGCTGGTTATGACAAGTTGCAAGTGATAGTGTTTGGAAAGAAGTATGGATCCGGTGGTGCTTAAATGTTCAACTCTTAATTTTGTTTTAAATACTAATGAAAATTATTTAGTTTCGACAAGCAACCCACCAAGGGTTGCCACAAATTTTGTTTAATAATTTTAATTAATGGGATTTTGGCCCATGTCTTTTTATTTCCAATTTGGGTTAGAATTTTGATATTTCAAGCTTAATTTATTAGAGTGACAAGCAACACAAAGTAGCTGTCACCTTGAATTCCATTTTGTTTGATTTGAAGTTTGAGAGACACTCTCTATACTCTATGTATATGAGCACCTTTTGACTTCCTTGTATTGGAGAAGAAATTGATTATTATTTGGTGTAAATAAGTATTGTAATACGTTCACCTCGATATTTTAAATTATTATTATTATTCACTGAATTGTTGGGACATATTAATATATGTATTTTAATAATGAAAAATGATGTTTTAAATTATTTTTATGATTGTTAATATTTATTATTGATGTCATTAATTAGCTAATGTTAAATTACTATTATATAAAATTATTTTCAATTTATTCATCTTCATGATTAAGTTAATTTTGATCAATTATTTTATTATAGCATTTAAATTATTTCAATTGAATTTTACTCCATTATTAATGCGTATACATGTATTACACAAATTTTTAAGTAAAAATACAAGAATTTATTTATATCTATTATTTAAATACTTTATAATTAAGTGATTGAAATTGAGAGAAAAATTATTTTATTTACCTATCTAATCCATCAAGTGATTTGTGATTCGTCTTCTTTAAATTTTAAATTTAACTGATAGCACAATACACTTTGTTTCATGTGTCTTGTCCACTTAATTTTAAAAAGGTTGAGTGTCATCATAACTAATTTATAAGAATTCACGCAAATTATTTTTCTTTTCTCCAAAAATGAAAATTCAATTATAATTCATGCACACTCATATTTTGTATTTCATATATGAATAAGTTTGCTTGTATCTTTTAACAAACATACCAATTAATTGTGTAATCGATGAGGGTTAAGTTGTCGAATTACATATGGATGAATAGATATTCCTAAAATTTCTATTATCTTAGTTAAATACTTAACAATAAATATAAACAATTGCACGTATATTCATGAATTAATTTTATAAATTCTAAGATAATAAACATAAACAAAATATAACAATAAAAATGTTAAAATATAAAGATTAAAAATTGGGATTTAACTTTATCATTTATCTTTTTTTTTATTCTAATGATTCAATATGGAAAAATCTCTCCTATAAATACAAATGCCTACATATATTTTTCTTTTACGATGATTTTTTACAAACAAGTTTCTAAAAATATTTATTGAATATGATTTTTTGATTATTTAATGAATTCTCTAACATTAAAAATAAATATTAAAAAGTCATCAATATATTGATATTTATCTCTAGTATCACAATATGCAGAATAAATTTTACTTAATTTGGATCTAAAGATTGCTTTCTATCTTAACCGTAAATCTTAAAGTAAAATATTGTCGATCAAAATAAAATCACACATTATAAATAAATTAAAATCACCATCTATAAAAATAAAAAATATATATAAATCATCAAAATATATCTTAGTTGAAGATAACATTAAATCCCAAAAAAAGTTTAGCTACTCATGATAACTATTATAACAAAAAAATATATATATATACAAAAAGATAAAAATTGATGTCCTAATATTTTTTCATAAAACGCCCTAACTTTTTTTTTTAAGTTTTCTTTTCTCGTTCTTCGTTATCTTTTATTTCTTTTTTCTTTAAAAAGTGATTAAATGAATTTTTGTTTAAGTAAAAATATTATCGTTCAAGTGAAAAATTCTTTATTTAAGCAAAAATTAGACAAATTCACTTATTTTCTTTCTTCTTTGCCTTCCTTTTTCTCTAAATTTTTGTAAAATAAAAAATAAAAAAATTAAAAAAAATATCTATCTTTATCTCTTAGTCAAAATAAATAGATTATTTAAATTCTTCTAAATTAAAAGGATACTAAAATTTAAATTTAATTAATTAAAGACAATGAGTACTCTAATTCAAGTTATTATTTACTAAAATTTGACACTTATCAAGATTTATTATAGAAATATTTTATGTTTTATTTAATGAAATTGTATAATTTTTTAAATGATCAACTCTATCAGATACTTAAAAGATTAACAATATATGAGTTAAGACACCATTAGCCTTGAGTATGAAATTACTATAATAAAATTAATCCATAAAAAAAATAAAAATAAAAATCTTTATAATTACATTCCAATGAAATATATTGGATTAAAAATAAAAAATAAATAGAATTTTAGAATGGTGATAAGGTAGGCGAAACACTACGAGAAACATCTTATTAATATAGTAATTAAATATGTTGTTTTTACTATCATTCCTACAATAAGTACAATGACATTATATGATTTGTGTAAATGAATTTAACTAATAGAATATGGTTTAGTTGTTGTTGTATTTATAAATATTTACAAACTTTAGAGAAAAAAATTATTTTCTAAATAAAAAATATTCACATAACAATTTTTTATGAAAAAATTAGTATAAAAATGTGTCATTTTTCTTTCTCGAACATATTGGAATTCTTTAAGTGTTATTAATCAATTAATTTTTTTTAATAAAATATTAATATGAATATAATTGATGAAATAAAATGTAAATTTTACTAGTAAACAATATTAAGAGTGGATAAAAAATTTAAATTTACCTTTTATTTTGTTAAAATGACAACTTGATTGCAGTGTATAAGAACTTTTAAATTTTAATATTCTCTAATTAAAATTAATAATAATATAAATTAGCAAGTATAATTTTTAACTGATACGTCATCCAATATATCCTCAATCTGTGTCTCAATGTGAACCTACATTTATTATCGCAATCCAGATTCGTGAGTAAAGGATAAAATTATCATTTATTTTCTTTTATTTATTTTTTCTCTCATTTTGATTTAGGCCATTTGGGGACTTATCCCATTGAGATCTCAAGGTTGGAAATTTCTTTCTCGTTAAGATCGAGAATGGGGATCATTCTTCTTGCCCTGTGGAGTTTTCATCTTTTAAAAAAATATTAAAATAATCTAAATTAGACCAGTGTTTCTGTATATTTTAGTAATTTTTTCAAATAATATATTATATTTAAAATGAAAATTAAAAATTATGGTTTTACTCATTTGCCCTGTTAAGTTTTTTCTTTCACTTCTGAATCATAAAAAAATAAAAGAAAAAGGAAAACGAATATATGTTATTGTTTTTTCTTAGAAACAAGTTGTTGGTGTAACCGTGATAAAATAGGTAACTCATTAGATGTAATAGGTGTGTGTACTTTTTCTTTTCGATTATTTTAGCTTTCTTTGGGGGGTTTCTAACATTGTATCTTTAACTTTATCTTATTATTTAATTTGAGTTTTCTTAGGATGTCTAACCTGGTTTCCTTTACTACTTTGTCTGTTTTCATTTATTTTTATGTGCACTTGTCTCTACCTTTTGCCTATTGTTTATTTAAAAACAGATCAATATCCCAACAAATCACTACACCCAACATTACCTTTGTCTTTCTATGTTGAATCACGCTTTATATACAAAGGTGAAGAGGCAGCTACTACGAACATTAACATGAACCAAAGTACAAAATTCTTCTCTTGGGTTGATTAGCTTATTCCATCGTTTATCTTCCTTGAAATTGGCACTTAATATTCTGAGCTGAGAATTCTAAATATGCACATATTGGTGATTTAGCTTTTATTAAAGTTGTTAGTTTGGGGAGATGAACCCTGTATGGAGTTTTTTAGGTCTACAATTGGTATTGTAGGTTTCAGAATTCAGAATTTGAAGGCTGAAAAACAGCTGTATGGTACAGATTGTAGTGTCACTTACAGCAGAGATTTGTCTCTGATAAATGCGGCTTCCACAGATTATTTTACCTGCCATTCAATTCAAACGTGCCCTTTATTAGAGCTTTGTGATATATATAATATAAATTTATACATGATAAATATTAATATTTACTTAATTCATGTTTTCAGAGTATTCATTAAAAAATAATTATAAACTATTTTAGAAATTATGAAAAGTATGCTAATAATAATGTTTAATTACTCAATTATTTACAAAAATTTTGATTAAAAGTTATAAAATTTTATACATTAATAAGCTTCTATATTGAGGTAATGCATTTATTCATGATGGTAGTTGGTAGAGGTATATTAAAAAATAATGGAAGAAGTTACAGTACAAGTTTTGTTTGAAAACTCTAATATTTTTATTTGTACATTTTAACTTATAATTTTTATAACAAGCGACTGTATAGGAAGTATGGTAAGATATTAAATACAAATATTTTCCTCAGCATTTCCAAATTTTCCAAATATAATGTACTTGCTAGTTGTTTATATTAATTGTCAATGGGTTTCTAGTTTTTCTGTTCAATTTTATAAGCCTTTTCTACCTGAATTTTGTGCAACTTTACCATCAAATTTATCTCTCAAGAAAATTACAATTTCATATCATATATTTTCTTTAAATATTTATTTACTTTTTTAATTTAGTTATTTTTTGGTATATTAAAAAAAGAATAGAACAAATTAAGATGAAAATAAATAAAAAATAAAGTCTCTCTAATAAAAGAAAAAAAAAATCTCAATCCAGAATGATCAAAAAATTAGAGAAGACTTTAATTAATCATCATCCTTAATTCTAGCATTAATGCCACAATTTTAACTATAAGAACTATTGATATATAAACCAATAAAAATCGTTGTATCGGTTTTTAATTTAATTTTAAATATTTAAACATGACAGTTTATTGAAACAATTGTTTGTTATATTAAAAGTATAAAATACAATAAATACTTAGAGTAAAAGTATATACTTAAAAATAATTCTAAGAACTAATATTAATAAAACAGAAAAAAAAATGTTTATTGAGTGGAACGAAAAAGTAAAAACTCCCTAGTCCTTAGTCCTTCCGGCATAAAGAAATTGGGCACAGAAGAGAGAGAACAAAATTGCCACATTGCATCGAAACCCTCTCTCTCTCTCTCTCTCTCACAAGTTTCCAACCATTCCGAATGTGAACAGGTAAATCAACTCTCGAACTTTCCTTCTTCTGTTTAGTTCCCGAGAAAATTAGAAAAAAAGAAAAAGGTAAAAAATCTCACCACACTGCAATCCAGCATTCTTCCTTTCCCTCCTAATTTTCTCACAATCTCACCCCCACCAGGTTTTTACCCGCACAAATCAAAATTACAAAATCATTTTTTGTTAAATTTTTTAGAAAAATAAAATAAATAAGGTTAAACCTTGCTTTTCTAAAGATGTGAGTGTGATTGAGATATTATTTTTGTTCTTCTTTAGAATTTGTTGTTTAAGGCTGTGTTTGGTGACGTGTAATGTGGCTTTTCTGTGCAGTTGTTGTTGAAGGGTAGTGTGTAGTGTTTGCTTTTCTTTTTCAAGCTGCAAGATGAATGATGGTAGACAAATGGGGGTGCATTACGTAGATGCTGGTTTTCCTTATGCCGTTAATGAGAACTTCGTGGATTTCTTTCAAGGCTTCACGCAGGTGCCGGTGAATTATGCCTTTGCTGGCTCAATGCCTAATCAGGTCGTTGTTTCTACTTGTATTTTTCATTTTTATTTTTATTTATAATGTTGCTTCAATGTTTCTCAACTTGATGGATATTAATGGTTTCTGTAACATGGTTGTTGGTTCATGCTACCCTTGAATTGCGAATGTGTGTAGTTGCAGTGTTTACTGAGTTTTTTTAATCCTAAATTGATCTTTACCCCCAAAATATGGGCGGAAATAAACAAAATTCCATCCTTTTGTTGTTATCATTGCTAATGCTACCTGACAGTTAGGCAATAGAACTCGGAATGTTTGACACAGGTTCATGGAAGGTCTATTTTTTAGAAGAAAAAAAAAGCAATAATGCGAATTGGAAGGTCAAGTACTAAAAATAATTTGACAATGATAATTACTTTTCTTTGAGTTGCATTGCAACGTTGGATGGGTAATGTCCGCGTGTGAAAGCAGCTATGTGTCAAAGACATGTCTCCTTTTAACCCATTTGTTTATTCATTTATTTATTTGTTTCTTTTATTAATTCACAATTTACTGTTGATTTGATTTAGTTCTATAATTAAACATCATTGTAACTATGTAATCATATCTTCTGTCCAGGAGAGTGTCTATTGGTCAATGAACATGAATCCCTATAAATTTGGATTGTCTGGGCCTGGGAGTACATCCTATTATAGTTCTTATGAGGTAAATGGTCATTTGCCAAGAATGGAGATTGACAGGGTTGAGTTTGAGTGGGAATACCCTTCAACAATGACCACTGTGGAACCAGCTACAACTAATTCTCCACCTAGAAGAGATGGAGTCACGAGCATGCAAACTATCCCTGAAGAATGTTAGTTCAAATGTTATTTTCTTTCACTGTGAGCGGAAGCCTATGATCATATCATTGGTTTCTGCAATTTAGTTGTTATATATACATAAATCACCTTTTAGTGTCATGCTGGCAGAAAATTAGTGTCTGTGGACAGTTGGATTGAGGGGGAGGGGTCTCTTGTTGGATGAAGCTTGTTATTATTATTATTAAAATTACTGTTTTAAATTTCAACTATTCTGAAAACATGAAAATTATATAATCTTTATTTTTTGGATTTCTTTTGCAGACAGTCCAAATCATGCAAACCTTTTAAGTGAAGTGAAGCTTTTTATTTTGTTCCTCCCTTTTGAGTTGAATGAAAACTACTGTTTTATTTTTTAATTATTCAGTAAATCTGTGAGAATTGTGATATAGCATATTAATCCTTTTAAATTTCTTTTGCAGGCAGTCCGAATCATCAGGAATCTAATAGTAGCCAGGTAGGAAGCTTTGTTATTTATCAACTTAGCCGAAATTTTAGACCTTAACTAATTGATTTTTGGTTTGATATTCAGTCATTTGTCCCTGTTAGGAACACTGGGTCCCCTATGCTTGAAAATTGGGAGACATTATTTCAATGATAGTTGGCTGAACATGGCATACTTTCATCACAAATCGTAATCTATCCACTCTACACTTTTTTGGATACCTTAACTCTTTTATTAGTAAATGTTAATCAATTGAACATTAGTTCATTTAACTTGGACAATTGGACGCCTTGGCAAATAGAGTTGCTTAAACTTTCAATATGTGACAAACAATAGGTGACTAATAACCCCTCTAGTTTTAACTTTGGCAAATAGTCTGCCTAAACTTTCTATAAGTGAGTAATAACCCCTCTAGTTTTAACTTTGACAAATAGTTAGCCCTAAACTTTCAATTTGTTGTAAATAGCCCGTGGTTTTAATTTTGGGAATTGATCACAAGGATTAGTCGTCATGTGTTGAAAGCTTAATTGCTATGTGCACAATGGTTATAGTAAAACAAGGGGATTTGCATTTTAACCATGAAAGTTAAATCCTGAATTATGGCACTCAAATTGAACCATGACATTCAATTTACACTAAATAGAGGATTATATATTGAATTATGTCTTACCTTTTAGGCTAGGTCGTATGGCATAATTTCAATAACTTGGAACATCAGAATTATATCTTTGTAATGCAGTGGCTCGCCTTTTGCTAATATGTTTCCCTCATGTCATCTACAAAACAGGCAAAATGGTTATTACAGACAACTTAGATTTTTATGCATAATTGCCAGGAAACAAAAAGGAGTTTTGAAGTTAGGCATCATTTACTATATATTACCATATCCTGTGGAGGTTTTTCCTGTGCCCCCTATCTCACCTTCCTTGTCTAGGTATAGTTATTCATTGAGGATACTTAGCTCCAAATAGTATTTTTAGTTTTGACGACAGAGTTTTTTTATGTATTTTTCTTATAAAAGTTATTTATGTGTACTTTTTTCACTAGGTTTGCTCCAGAAAACAGTTTTCATTATAGAACTGATAATTTCTTCATCATGTTTCACACAAACCATTCCCAAAATGAAAAATTGTAACAGAGATTAAAAAGAACTAATCTTCATTGTTGATTAATTATCAATCAGAAAAGGAGAGAAATCTCCTCCAAAGGTTTTTTCCTTAGAACTGAGCCACTGCTCTGCTTTTTCAATGCTAACAAATCTCCATGCCACTTCCTTCTACCTCTCCTATTTAAGCCAAACCCTGGCTTTCCAACCTCTCTAACTAACTGTCTAACTAATTTTTGGTACTCCACTGTAACTAACTGTTCACATTTGGGAATCTCTGACTGGTAATGAATAAAATTTAGTGAAACATGAGTTGTGGCTTCTACCATACTCCATTTTTCTTTTGTTCAGAAAGCTGGGTTATTGTTGCTCTTTCATTGTTGTTTGTTCTTTTAGGTGTCAAAATAATTCACGAAGATGATATTTGACTACTTTAAATTGAATTCATGTGCTACCTCATATAACTTTTCTTTCTTATAAGCTCTGCATTTCAATTGCTTAATTTGAATAAGTAATCCTTAACTTCTGTAAACAGTTTTCAACCTGTACATTGATAATCAGAAGCAGCATAAAAATATATCCTCAAGTCTCTAATCGTTGGTATTGCATTGGTGCAGGTCATATGGCAAGACAACATTGACCCTGATAATATGACTTATGAGGTGTGATGCACTTAATGTTTTATTTGTAAATACTAATGTATGCACGCACAAGTTCTTAGTTATTTTTAAAACTTTTTTTAATTTTTTTTTAGATCATTCATCATTATATTAGGTATATTTTACTAAACCTCAGATGCTAGTCATTCAAATTTTTTATAAATTGAAGGATTAATTGCTCAGAGGGTAGCTACCAAAAGTTAACATTTTTCTAGATTCAAAATTTTATAGATATTGGAGTGTTTTGCATTCTTTAGTTGTAGATGTCAGTATTATTTCTGCAAGAGACAATTCTATCTAAAGTTTTAAGTTGTTTTTGTGAAGACTCATTAATACACATCATACAATCCCTTTAGACTTTGAAGTTTGGAAAATAAACAAACCCACTTTACCTTGTGCTGGAATTCAACTTTTCTTTTTGAAGAATAGGGGTAGCAAGGATAGAATGCCTGACTACTTGGTCGTAGGAGCCCTGATACCATGTCAAAAACCAACTTTCTGAAAAGATTAAGCTGTTAGGTGGAAGCCCATGAATAGTTTTATAGGATTATTGTTTCAAAGAATGTCAAATGCATCAGACAGAAATGGTGCTTTATATTATATCAAATTTGATATGAATAACTATTAAGCTAAAGCCTTCAAGATTTAGAATGCTTGTGTTACAGGAGAGTTAATTTGAAAATGTTGCTGATTTTTTTATGGTTAAAGTTAGACGTCTTTGAACTTGGTGCTAATTTTAATTGTAGTTTATTGACCTTTCAATTTCATTGGTATGTTGTTGAATAAAAGTATAATTAGAAATCTTGAAGATCAATAGCCAATAATATTTTATAAGTGACAGGAACTTCTGGACCTGGGGGAAGCAGTTGGGACTCAAAGCCGAGGTCTTTCCCAAGAACTCATTGATATGCTTCCAACCTCAAAGTACAAATTTGGTAGCTTATTCAAAAGAAAAAATTTTGGGAAAAGGTAATATCCTGGTCCTCTCTCTTTTCTGAAACAGATGAAAATATGAAGTTGAATGAAGGCCAAAGGGGATAGTACATTGATTAGGAAGATGAGGTGAATGTGGAAGAGGAATGAAAATTATAGTGTTTAAGCTCAAAAAATGAATCTATTGAAAAAGATAGGATTGGTGATGGGAAAATTACATGCTTCATGCTTGTATTATTTATAAATTATAGATTTATCAATTTGTAATTTAGCATATTTCCATTACCCTATTCAATAACCATTGAATAGGGAATAAAATCATTTCTACTTGTCCGTTTGCATGTCTTATTTAATTTCCTCTCCATCTGCAATGCCTTTGGAAATAGAATGATAAATTATTTCATTTTGCACTGTGGTTGAGGGTATACAGAGTATTGATAGTCCTAATTACTAATAAAATTTGGTATTTTCATCCCTTGCCCAGAGAATATGATTCAGATACTCTGGTTGTATATGTAGGACTAGGTTGATCATGGAGGTTTAAATTTGTTTCTTCTTTTGCTTATCTTGGATACTTATAACTTCTTTCAAGATTCATGATAAGTTTTCCAGCAACACATGCATGGGTTTGAGTCTGTTCTCAGTTCTCACCTTCCCATTTTCAGTATATACTGACAATCAAATTGCATTCAAAACAGGTGCGTAATCTGTCAGATGACATATAGAAGAGGTGATCAGCAAATAAAATTGCCTTGCAGCCATGTCTATCATGGTGAGTGCATTACCAAGTGGCTTGGCATTAACAAGGTAAGTAAATGCTTTCTTCTGAATTTCGCTTGAATCCTTTGTTTATACAATTTATCACCCCCCAATTCTCTATCTTATCTCATTTACCTTATATTTTTCAGAAATGTCCTGTTTGCAACATTGAGGTTTTTGGTGAGGAATCATCGCATTAGCGTCAGGATGGCATAAAGGAACTTTCTTGCTCTACCAATTTTTGCTCCTCGTCCATCTCTCTCTCTCTCTCTCTCTTAAGTTTCAATTTCTTACACGTAGGTAGGTGTAATATGAAGAACTGTGGCACTTGCCACACAATACGTGTTTTGTTTACTAGAAACAACCTAATGGAGTTGCATCTTCTTGTGGTTAATGTGTGATTTTCTGTGTATTGATGCTATATAGTGTCCCGTTCTTTATGGTATTTGGGATTGAGAAATCTGCTTCCCAGCCATTAACTAAGGATTTGTTGGAGTTTGGGAATGAGAAAACTCATAAGCATGCTTGATGGATTTTAAAAAATGAAATTCATGTGGAATACTAAGGGTCAAGGGATATGGAGATCTTAATTTGAGAAACATATTGCAGGCTTATGGCATCAACATTCTAACACAAATATTGCTTAAAGATCTTGATATATTCCTACTATTTCCGTACTTTTAAGAGAAATTGTCACTTGTTTTTCAGAAGTTCTTTTAAGAAATTGACAAAATTTAGTGACTATTTCATTTGAATAAGCTGAATTAAATATATATTTCGAATATCTTCTGTTTTCACCTCAGAAAAGAAAAACTATGAAAACTGATTTTCAAAGTATCAACTCCTAGTTTGTAACAGATTCTGAGGGATTGAAAAACATGCTTAGGCTCCTGAAATCAATTCTCACAGCAATAGGTTAATTTATAATGGAAAAAATTAGGTGCAGTATTTTAAGATATTTTAGGTAATTAATGTTGCCCTTCAATATCAACTTATATGGCATGAATTATTGATATAAAATTTTTATAAAAAATAATGCTAAAAATATCAAAATTACAGAACCTAAGTTATGCGTTGTATTATCATCCTTGTTATGATAGTTTAAGATTTATAATTTAAACAAAATGTTTTTGGTAATCATAGTTCTAAAACTGAAGCATAAAATAAATATACTAGCAGGTTCCTTGAATTGGGCTGACACTTAGCACGAATAGTTTTGAAAATTATATGTAACGTAAAACGACTGTGATTTCTCTAAAATAAGGTGAGTTGTAAAATAAAAAAGTGAGAATAAGCCATTTTTGTTTTAAATGAAAGCATCTTATACAATTTAATTCACTTCAAACCAACAGTTGATAGATTATTAATCTTTTATTTTACAGTTTTCATTTAAGAGGAATTAAATTTTTTTAAAAAGATCTGCATGATAGAGTAACCCTATTAGATTATATATATATATATATATAATGGGGTTACTCTATCATGCAGATCTTTTTAAAATTTTTTTCAAAAACATCACATTATTCATGGATGCATGTCTCTTTTTTATTTAATCTGTGTGCCTCTTTATGTATTGTTCAATGTAATCTGATCTCAATAATACTTGAACTTCTGACACCTCTAAATTTTCTTTGGTGTATGCAGCCATTAGAAATGACTATTATTTGGAAAATCGTCATGGCATGTCCTCATGCACTTCATTTTCTCTTACTATTGCCTCAAACTAATCATCTTCCTCCCACCCTTCTAAATTCTCCCTATCTTGATCCTGCATCACACAATAAAATTATATTGGGAAGACTAGATTTTAGCCACTCTCTTATGTGGAACATTTCAATTCAATGTGTTTATGATATATTGATTCATCTGCTACCGCTCCACCCTCTACCAATGAAGATGAAAGCAATGCTTATATTGCATCCAAGTCCAATATTTACACTAATGTTCCATAGAGCATCCTCACAGAAGGATGACAATAAAAAAAATGCTGGGACAACCACTGAGAAGCGGTTTATTGAAATCATAAGACATTTATGCACAATACGAAATAACGATTACAGTATTTTTAGAAGAAACAGCCTTTAGTTTTCTGTAGTTGAACAGCACAAGAAAAATAACTCTAATGCAAGTATTACACACTGTTTGACTTCATACATAATATTGTAAATGCATGTGCAATTTATCAGCATTGATATGCATAAAGCATTGTAAAAGCAACCGAAAACACTTTGCATCACATGGGGAGAAACCGGTACCATTTTCAAGGGTTTTGTTGCAGTGCTGAATTATTGTGCTGGATAGCAAATGATAATGGCATTGGCAACTATTTTAAGAACTGTTGACAACATATATAGTGATTATTCACATGAACCTTAGCTGCAGTAGTTGGACAGAACATAGAAACTTGGTTTTATCCGTTAAAATTAATCAATAAGTTTTTGACTTAAACATTTTCTTTTTGAGAAAGAACTTGATGTTAAATGGATTTATTCAAATATTCTCGATCCCACTCTCATGTCAAGGATCAATATGTGAGAAGTATGTTAAGACTATTATTTTCAAATCCATTGAGGATAGAGCTACTTTGGAATCTGAAAATGCTATTTGGAATGATGGAGTTTATGAGCTGTAAATCATCAAATAAGAAAGCCTTCTGGTTAAAACAAATGCAGCTAGCTTCACCATGTTCTACTTCTTCAAAAGCTTCCAAATTATGGCTAATTGTATGTAGCTGCACTTGTACTCATAAAAATGACGTTGATACTATCAATACAATACAAGATAATTGTGTCTCATATAGCATTTTGAATGAGGTTTAGAAGGTGGTTAGATTGTATCATATATATAGTACGTGAAATAGCATTCTCTTCTTTTCTATTTCCCATACTTCCCTTATACTTGGCTATAGAAAACACATAATTCTAGGACCTATTATTTTTCATTGGTCAGATTTAGCTTACACTCAAGCAGACCATAACATCTGGCTTTAGGTGAAGTAGGATTGTTGAATATGCAAATTGGAACACAATATCAACATTTTCTGATAACTTTTACTAAATTACAAAAGAATGTGCACTAAAAACATTTTTTATTCTTTAACTAGTTGATAAGATTTTTTTTGTCCTTTAATATTCCTGAACCATGTCCAATACCTGCAATCAGAGATTTTGTGAATAACCGCTTTGCCTTTGTCTTAGCTTAATCTGTGTCAGAAAAGATAAAAATAAAATAAAAAAGCTAAAAAAATCCAAGCTTTGCTGTCATGTCCAGTTTTTTTAAGTTTGAGCACCCAATGATAGCACATGTAAATTAGTATAAAATTAAGATAATGTTATACAAGTACTATAAAATCATGTTAGTGCCAATCTGTGGATTTATTTGTCGTTTTGTGCATTCCTTGTAAAACCGAAATCCACGTTCTGAAGCCGCAATTCCCAAGATCCAAGGAAAATATTTTTTATCTTATATACAAAGATAATGCCAGCCTCTGCTTTGATTTTTACTTCAAAAAGTTAGCCGTTTAGAATTTTTTTTTATATTTATATTTTAAGTTATAAAATTGATATATTATTTTTATTTATTTTCTGTTTTAAAATATTTATACAATAAATAATAATAATAATAATAGAAAAATATTTTCAATATGTTTTCTAAATCCTTTTAAAAAATTAGCATAAAAATAGGATAATAATTTTTAGTTAAAAATAAAAAATTTATATATTTCATGGAACAAAACAACTCCTAAATTCTTAGACCTTTAAATAACATAAGTTTTAAGAAAATTTTATAATGAAAATAACTTTTAACATATATCTCAATTATATTTTATAAAATTAAATTAATTTTACACAAGTTTTTAAAATGGTCTTAATCTACTTTTTCAGATATTTACGTGCTTTTCTTGAAAGTTGAGACAATGAAAAGATTTTATGAAAAAGCAAAATATTTTTGAATTGAAAATTTATAAATTCAGGAAATAATTTTTTGAGAAACTGAAATATTCAATGGGAAAATTTAAATATTCCTTTAAGCCAAAGTTTTGGTGTTACCAAGTACGAAGAACACGAGACAAAAGAATGGCCACACTAATCCAAAATCACTTAAAAAAAGTTAAAAATCACTCCTCAGACCCTTTTTGTTTTTTCATATATATTTTCAAGAGATAAACCCTAAACCAACACGACATGCTCCATGGAATCGAAAGGGAAGTCTAATTCATTCTTGATAGAAACTCAACAATGAGAATGAAAGCAAAGGATTCTTGGAGAGCACAATAATAATTATAAGAGATTTGTCTTGTTCTAACCGCAAAAAAAAAAATTAAAAAAATTAAAAAAGCATATATCTGACATTCTTCATCGGTTTGTGATGTGTGAACCTCCAAGTGGCACTATCTTTGTGGTCCAAATCATGAATTGAGGTGAATTAAGGACAAGTAATAGAAAATAATTAAAGAAACAGATTTCATCCATACGTAGGAAAAAAAATTAATGTCTCAACAACAATCCGATGAACACAGAAAATTCCATTATTCTTTCCAAAGTAACGTTGGGAGCCTATTGAAGAGGATTCACCTCAAAATGTCAAAATAGTCCCAAAATTACAACAATTCAACTGCACAATAATCCCGTGGCAACAACAAAACTGCTCTAAACAAAAACAAACTCATAGCACCGTACATGCTTTTATTGAAGGTTGGGAAATTGAAGTCAAATATATTAAAAATAAATTTAAAAATCTAGAAAGGAAAAAGAGTGAAAACTTATGGACAATAAGATGTGGTTGAAAGCTTCAAAGCCATCATCATGATCAATTCTTGAAATTTTAATCTACCTTGTGTTGTCGTTGTTGCAAAGCATAACATCCAAGATCCTGGACCAAGCAACACGTAGGCGAGGGTAAACTCTGTTGCTGTATATTCTTGATTCTCTTATCATATATTCCATCGTTTCCACAAATAGATTTAAGCTTCTAAGAGGTGGAACATAAAGGGTCAATGGAACCGCAGAGAAAGCCACTGTGAAGAACAACTGCAACATTTCTTTTCTTTTTTCTCTGAGACCGAGACACCCCACTATGAGATCAATACAAAGCTGAAACCTTTGAATCCGATACCAAAAAGGGTATTTGGATTCGGGTTTTTTTCAAGTTTCTAGCTTTAGGGTCTGTATCTATGAATTTGAAGGTTTGTTGAGGAAGGAGAAAAGAGCGTCTTTGACTGATATAAAGGGCTATTCGAAAACAGATTGAAGTAGAGAGAGAAAAAAGAAAGTGGGCAAATAGCAAGTTCTGGAAACTCAACGAAGCTTGAATATATATATATATATATACTACATAGGAAAATGGAAAAACCGTCGGTGGTTGTGCTTAGATATTGAAAACATAAAAGATAAAAGAAAGTGTATTATTTAAATGATTTTTTAAAATGAAACGAATGAAATAATAAATAAATAAATTATGTAAATTTCTATATGAATTAAAATTAAATTTTTTATTTAAAATTTAATAATTAAACTTTAAAAAATTAAAAATATAAAACTTCATCCAACGATTTTTATAATAATAATAAAATATTCTAAAACTATTCAAAGCTGTCATGGGAAAACTTTATCAACATTTTTCATTAGCAATTTTTGAAATTTTTTCATATTACTAATTTTTACTAAAAGAATACATATTATATCACTCAAAATATTTATTATCTCTCTCTGTCTTTTATTCTTTTCTATTATTCGTTGGGATATTTACAAAACATTTTCTTGTATCATAAGATATATATATTTTGGATTATGGCAGCAAATAAATAAATCTTTTTACTTTTAATGTTTACAAATTATTCTTATTAAATAAAAAATATTCAACATTTTTATATGATTAAGATAATAAGAATAAGTATTTCATTTAATAAATGTTATAAAATAATAAAATAATTATTAGAAAAATTTATAAATAATAATTTTGAAAGAATAAAAACATAAAATTAAAAAAGGGGTTTAAGTGGGTACAAAATTTGTCAGTTAAACTGTTACTAAAATGTCTTTTACTTTATCTTCTCCGTTACGTAAAATAAAAAATAGTGATTTTTTTTTCATCACATCGCTTGTTGCAGAAATTATTATCAAAGTATAAAATAAAAATAGCATTACTCAATTGTTTTCAAAATATTATATTTTAGTAATTCTTTTTCATATAAAAAAAAAACCCTCTTCTAAAGGAATGATGTTATTCATACTCGTAAATACCTAAAAAATAGTTATTTACGCATTAAATTTATACAATTTTTTTTTACAATGTGATATAAAAAAAAACTTACAAATTATTTATATAAATAACACTTTTCATTTCCTAATAATCAGCATAATTTTTAATTTTTCCAAAGGGGTATTGGGCTAAGAAAAAGTAAAGTAATGTTTGTCATATTTTATGATCACATTGAATCATTGACAATTTAAAAAGTTATTTGTCTTTAGCGATTGCTTTAAAACTATTTAGATGTTTTTTATATTTTTTTTCTCTTGAAAACACTATTCAAATGTATTTGTTAGTAAGTCGTCATCATGTAAAAGTTAACGTTGTTATTTGGTTTTATTCATTTTGTTAAACACTTCAACTTTGTATCCGATTTTGGGTAATATATATCACCAAAAAATAAAAATATTTAGGCTTAGTTTGTTTTCTTTTATTGAATAGAGTTTCTTATTTTTAAAAATAAAAAATAGAAAAACCTGTTTGTTAATATAAATTTTAAAAATTATTTATAAAAATATTTTTTTTTATTTTCAGTTTTTAAAATTGAAAAACAGAATTATTATTTAGGTGTTTTTGTTTTTATTTTTCTATTTTTCTTTTTAAAACTAATAAAAGTTTAACTAAAAATAGTTTTAGAAACTAAATTATCAAACAGATTTTATTTTATTTTATTTCCTAAAAACAGTTTTATAAAATTATTTTAAAATATAATTTTTAAAAGTTAAAGCTAAATCAAATAAACCCTTAGTATTATACTTCTGTACAATAAACCTAATATTTATCCAATAACTTAAAAACTAATTATTTTAATCTTTCGTGAAAATAAAATTTTTTATCACACGCAAAGATTAAAAATAAAGGCATTTTAGTATTCACCTTCTATAACCATATATCATTAAGTATATTAAAATTGAAAAAAAAATTAAATATATATTTAATCTCCATAAATATAGCTCCTTTTATTTAAGTTTTATAAAATTTATTTCTTTTTATCCCTTATACATAAAAAAGTAATGAATTTAATCTTTCGTGAAAAATAAAATTAATTTATCACACACAAATATTAAAAATAAAATAAAAAACCATATTTAAGGAATAAAATACACAAAAAATACATTACAATTATACTTATATGATTAAATTTATCCTTAGAAATTAATGAATTAATTATATTATTTTATTTGTTAAAATTACTAAACTTAAATAGTAAGCTTGCAATTGTAAACCTAATTTTTATCTAAGAGTTAATATTTTTAGATTAATTTATTGTATTAAATATATTTTAAAAATGATTAAATTAATTGATAAACATAAAAAAACATAAAAATGTAATTGTTGGTTTTTATGTAATTTTTATTTTATTGACTAAATTAAATAATTTTTATGTAAATAAAATTTAAAATTTTAATTAGTGGTTAAGTTTTAGCATTTTTAGTTTAACTATAAAGATTTTATAAAAAAAAATTAAAATAAGTAAATGAAAATATTTGATAAAATTGGGGATAAAAATATAAAATATTAAATTTAAACAAATTTGAAGCAACATTTTAAAGAATCATATCAGAGAAATTTATTTGTTGAATATTTTTATTATAGTAAAACAAATTTATAAAGTTAAAGTATATAATAATCGCTAAATATTCTATTATTTATACAAAAATAATTAATAGTTAAAATTATCTTAAGTTGGGAGAACAAGGACAATGGGAAATTAAAAAAAAAAAAGAAAAGATAATGTTTCTATGCTACGGATCACATGGCTTGGTTATGGTTCAATAATTTTTCAATTAATGATTAGTTACTCTAATTATTTTGTAATTACTGCCATGAGAGAATACCTTAATTCTTAAGAACGAGGAAATGCCATGAAAAGTAGGATTGAAGTTTCATATTCTTCTATTTTTTTGGTCTTAATAAATCATTATAAAGTGAAGTAAGTTAACTATTTTTTTTAAAAAAAATTTATATATCCATTCCAATAATGTTTTAGCTCTACCATATGTAGAAGGCAAAATCTTGATAAGCTATTATGAATTTATTTGGGGATTAAAGAAACAAAAATGGACATTTTGATTTTGTCTGGTTTGAAAAGTTGGTATGAAATTTGTGGCTGAAAGCAAGAAAAGGTTAATGAAAACACGTAATAAGAGCTTTAGAGCCACCAATATGATTGCAACTTTGAGACTCGCTTCATTTTATTTGTGTGCCAATCTTGCAACTTCCAATTTCAACATTTTAGCCTTTCTCTCTCTGCATATATATATATAGAAATCTTCTATTCTATGCTCTATGCCCAAAATAAAAAGAGAAGATGCTAGAAAGACCACATAGTTAAAAATCTTTTATGGTATAAAACCTCGTTCATTATGGAAATCTTAAATCAAAGTCTTGTATTATACACATGGTAGCCTCTAGATTATCTACTCTAACTGTGACCACGTCAAGGTCACTATAAACTTTAGAAGTTGCTATGACACCACTCTTTATATTTTAGATTTAGATTTCAAGGATTCTCTAATATTTATATGTGAAAATTCGAGTGATGCTAAATCATTGTTTCAGAAACTCTAATTTTTTGTACTGAAAAAATGTAATTTTAAAAAATAGAAAAATTGATCATTCTAAAATGTGAGGGCCTGTCGTAAAATTTTTAAGATATTTTTGGTGCAATACATTGTTGGACCAAAGCATGTGTGAAATGTTATGTGATCCACGCATCAATGCAACGTTTTATTATGAAATGAGTTCTATGAGATTTTCCAGCTATTTGCCAAAATGGACTAAGGGATTTAAAGGTATGTTTCAAGAATAACTTGAGTACAAAATAGATTTACCTGATTAATTTTTGTTATCTTTTTAGGTTACATAATTGAAGATGATTTAAAGAATATGAACTCCATGTAACACAAATAACATTTTGTTTGGGAACTAATTACCAATTTGAAAATGTTTTGCGACAAAACACATTTAATTGCAACAAATAACATCTTATTGCTCATCATTTTTACTGTAAATTAAAACTTTGGCATAATGTACTTGATGCTTGAGACTTCTGAGTTTGAGTTTGCACAATATAAAATTGGCAAATTTCTGTATACTTGTGCTGCAAAGTGCTCTTCCTTGGTCACAACTTTGTTAATTTTTTAAAAGAAAAGGAGAATGGGAATTTCACATGTTGGAATTTGGATTGCTGAAATTTGGTGATGAACCGCTTTCTCTATGTATAATTGATTCTCATGACCCCTCTGTGATGATTGAATCCACAAACTTACAAATAAAAGCTGAAAGAGACAAAAGGACTAAAAGAACAAGTTCCATACCTAGACATTTTTCTGTCCTAAAAGTTAGTGTGCCTCAACCTTCTATACCCATAAATCTTCTATTTTGAGCACATTCACCTTTTAGTTGATGATTTGTGTTAAAGTGCTACCACTTTTATGGCCTCTGCATTTTACTAATATATTCTTATAATGGGGTACAAGGTGTAATGTAGAATCCTCAAATGAGTTGTATTTTCTTGTCTTTGTAACAAAGTAGAATGTTGCTTGGCACACCCTCATAAGCATGAACACTTTCTTTTCTATTTTGGTTTTCTCTCTAACGTGTACCACTTCATTCCAAGACACCTGTGGATATAGAAAATGATGCTTTTGAAACATTTGAGTAGCTTCAGAGATTTGTGCTTCACTCTTTCTCAGAAAATTGGGGAAGAAGTCCCTATCATAGGGGAGATGGGAGTGTGAACAACCATAATGCCCTTGGAATTGACAATAATTTCCATGGATATGTCTATCTGATTTTGGATTGGATAGTGACTGAAATTTGTAGCATAGCTGATGAGCAGGATTTTTTTATCACTCATGAAACTTTGCCATGGAAAATTTTAGGTAGGGAAAGGGAATTAGCCTAGATATATACCGTAACAGCTAGGAAGAAAATGATAGATGTGACCATGATTTTATCCATAGTTAATAAAGCATCCTGGAGAAGGTTGGATTGAGAACTGGTCATATTATCAATCTTAAATTCTTGACAGTGTAAAAAAAAAACATTGGTCAGATCGGTCAAGAACTAACTAAAATGTAGTTAAAATTAATATAGAAAATTTTGAACTAAGCTTTTTAAATATCTACATATAAATTGTTATTATAATAATTTATAATAAAATTTTCATCTGGTAAAACATTTAACATGATATTATTATGTTAATTTAAAAATTTTCCAAACTTATTTTTTCATAATTTTATATTAATATATTATTTAATATATTTTATTATTATTAGTTCAACTTTGATTCCATCACTAACAAGTGCCTTATCAATTCAATGCCCAATTCAATTTAAAACATTCATTCTGGGTGATTTCGTATTCTGAAATTCAAAGACTAAAGCAGAGTGGTTCCTAAGAAGAGAGATCTGGTATGATACATGTGAAATATTAACGATACTAACTGAGAAACATAAACTCACATTTTTTGGGAATAAAGCCAATGTTAATACTGATAAAGTAAGGGGTAGAGAAGAAAACACCATATAATTAAGTTATCGTAAGTTGCATAAGACATGCTACATTGACACACATAATACTGTAATTGATGTAACCAACTCCTCAATTATAATACATTCCTGTGTTCACATTGCTGCAACCAACATTAGCTAAGAATTATTCATTCATCATCTTTAAAATAGTGTAACTTAATTATAACTACATACATTGTACATCATTAATTAGAGTGGTAATTGGTAAACTAAACTCTACAGATTAGAAGTGATAGTTTATATACTCTAGTCGTCAAATTGACAGAGCCGTAATCTCTTATGTATGACAGGGGTAGCATTATGCCAAGTAAAAGAAAAAAAAAAATGGCATTGCTTCATTGAAGGTGAACATGATTTGCTTCAGAAATGTGCCAATTCAATGGTTAGCCCTTATGAAATTCATTCATAGAATGTAAGCTACAAACAATGATAAAATAACATGAAAATTAACAAACAAATGTCAAGCGTGCAACATTATGGTATTAAATTAAATTCCAAAAGTAGCAAAGTCATCATCCCTCTTGTCTCAACACACGTGAATTTGAAGTTTAAAACCAACAAAGAGGCTATTATGTGAAGTGGAAGCAAAATTGTTTCAACTTCATACAATAAAAGATGATGATTACCTTGTGAGTGAAGTAAAACATATTGAAACCATAAAAAATAACAACAACATGAAGAATTGAGTCAAAGACAAGAAGACCAACCATCCCTCTCTTTGTCTCTATGATCACTCTCTCTTTTGTGTTAGGGAGGTCCCCTTCCAATCCGTTTTCCACTCTACCCATCATCCAACAAACACAATCTCTCTCTCTCTCTCTCATGCATATTCATATTTTAAGCAAACTCCGCAACCATCAGTATCATCATCACCATTTCCACCCTAGGAAGCCTTTTATCTGTCTCTCAATATTATTCACCTATATAGAGCTTTCTCTTAGACCTCTATCATAACACACTTAAAAGAAGAAAGAAGAAAGAAACATTTCACATAGCTTTGATATCATTTCACAAGCATTATTGAGTCTATAGGCAAATGAGGAAGCCTGATCTGATGGGCAAAGACAAAATGAACAACATTAAGAGCAAGTTGAGGAAAGGGCTGTGGTCACCAGATGAAGATGAGAAGTTGATAAGGTACATGTTAACAAATGGACAAGGGTGTTGGAGTGACATTGCTAGGAATGCTGGTCTTCAAAGATGTGGCAAAAGTTGTCGCCTTCGTTGGATTAATTACTTGAGACCTGACCTCAAACGTGGTGCATTTTCACCCCAAGAGGAAGACCTCATCATTCATTTGCATTCCATTCTAGGCAACAGGTACTAACTTCATTTTCACCTTATCATTTCGTATCCTTAATGCTCTGCTTAATTCAGTCCTTACTAAAATCAAGTTTAAATTATCTACGTATGGTCTACTACTATTGTAAGACTATGATCTACCATTATTAATAAACTTCAATGTACTTTAATTTATAAATAAGAAACATATAGATGCAATGTCAGTGACGATTTATTAACTTTATAGGCGAGATTTCTTAGCTCGAGTAACAAAAATACCATGAATATTATAGACATATAGACTATGAAAGAATTGATTGTATATGTATTGATTTTAGCGATTTACAAGGCTAGTAATGTAAAAAATGAAAACCAGAAACAAGTGAGGAAAGGATATAATTCTTGTAATTATAAGTAAAAGCGTGAAATAAAAGTAAAGCATTTTCTTAAACCAAAACAGCTTAATTATTTGTGAATGTAAAAAAAAAATTGAAATCAAAGAGACCTGATATTTATTTCTATAATTATGTGTTACCTTCACACAGACAACGATAATTTTGAGTGTTTGAAATTTGTAAACAAATTAGTTTGGCACATTTTGTGGAGAAATTGATCTTATTAGACAGGTCAACTCTGTGCAGAGGGTTAGGCCATGACCTGAAAGCATGTCACAATTTTCACCTTGCTAGGTCCCGCTTTCGATTAAATTAAGGATGGGTTATTAATGTATTAACTATTCAACATAGTAGTGGGTGTTATTAGCTTTCTTTGTTTTTTAATTTAATTTATTCCTTGTGAATCTCAGGTGGTCTCAAATTGCAGCACGACTCCCTGGTCGCACAGACAATGAGATAAAGAATTTTTGGAACTCCACATTGAAGAAAAGGTTGAAAACTAACCCTTGCACACCATCACTAAACATTAGTACTGACTCATCAGAGTCTAAAGATCATGTTATGAGTGGGATCATGCCCATTAATGAGCATGACCTCATGACCATGTGCATGGATTCCTCTTCATCAATGTCATCCATGCATGCAGTGGATTTTGTTGATCAATTAGATCCCTTTCCCATGTTGATAAATAATCAATATGACATGACTAGTATTTCAGCTGATTTTCCCAACATGCCTACATGCTTGACCCAAATTGGCATGGTAGATGGGCATCAAGGAAATTATGGCATATTGGAGCCAAATAAAATGGGGTTAGGAAGAGACTTCACCCTTCCTTCACTAGAAAGTAGATGCACTGAAAGCAATTGTGCCCCAATTGATGTGAAAAGCCATAACAACCTCTTCAATTATGATTCCTTAAATAGCACTAGTAAGACTCAGGGTTCCAAACTAGAGGACTTGTTTGGGTTTGGAAATCATGAGCAAGGAGAAAGTTTGAAAATGGGAGAATGGGATTTGGGGAATTTGATGCAAGATATAACATCTTTTCCTTTCCTTGATTTTTAAGTGGGATAAGTGCCAGTCTTTGTAAATTCCTTTCTCCCTTTATCACGTTCCCTCCCACATACACACATAAATAGATATACAAGGCAATTGAAAATTTACCCTAGGAAATTTTAGGCATCCCATAATTTTCCCTTCAATACTTCTAACCTTTTGTTTCTTATATATCTTGTTTTTCCAATTGTTAATTTCTTTTATGCCTTTTACAAGTTGCACACACCCCAAACATAAATTCAATTGTCTTAGGCATAGTTATACAATGAAAATTGCATGTGTATAGAGTAAACAAGAGTTTCTTGGGTTGTTTGTGCTCCTTGGTTTGCTTGTGAAGCACTTTGTGTTAGTTTGCGAGAATAGGTTTGGTGTAATAATCAAATTATGTACCCTTTCAATAAGAGAAATGATATTAAGTCAATAGCTGAATAAAGATTAGTTGAATATTGTATGTAGAATGTGTACAACGAAAGGAATAATGTGGAGGTGGGTGTTGTTTTTTGGTGCCAAGTGTTTAAGATGATGGAAACAGATGTACACAATGATGTAGACACAAACACGGAGCAACTTTAAATTCAGTTCATTTCTTTGTTACTCTTATATATACTAATAAGTATATCTATTTGATGCATGATAAAATTTTTAAATATGAATTATTTTGTATAAATGCAATATAAATTTATTATTTTAATATTTATATGATAAGTAATGTTTGATCAATATTTTAAAAATAAGTCATTTTAAGATTTTTTACTGAGAAAAATACAAGAGATACGTATTGTAACATCATATTATCTTGACTGGATCAGAAGACATAAATAATAAAAATTCAAAGAAACCGTCGCCTGAGAGATTCGAACTCTCGCGGGGAAACCCCATGTACTTAGCAGGCACACGCCTTAACCACTCGGCCAAAGCGACGTCGTTGTTGTACAACACAATAACAAGTGCTTAGTACTCTGGCTCAAATTGATGCCAAAATAATTTTTAAAAGACTTAAAAAGTGATTTACTTCACTGTGTCCAAGTTGAAGAATCTAACTATATATGGAAAATGAATTAACATTCGCATAATGTTTATAAAAATAGTTACATTAATTAACTTTGCAAAAATAAAATATTTATTCATTCTTAAAATATTGTTATATTTTTTACATATTATGAAATTAAAGAGATAAAGAAAAAAAGATAGATTAAAAGTGATTGAGCCTAATGAATTTTGGCCTCTGCTCACCATTTCTCTAGGTACAAGTAAATCAAGGTCACTAGTTTTTAAGCATAAGACCTTTCTGAAAGGTTAAAAACAAAACCCCTTTTTTAAAATGAGTAAAATAAATGTTAAATTTAAAATTTTTTAAAAATATTTTTGAAAAATGAAAGTAAGTATTTTGAAGATGTTAAAATAATTTGAAGAAAATTATTTTTATTTTTTAACTTTTTTTAAAATAGAATAATAAATTTCATATTACAACTATATAATTCGGGAACGATGAAGTAATTTATATAATTATTATTATAAATTATTATGTAAATTAAAAAATATTTTTTTCTTAAAAAAAGATGTATAAAAATATCTAACTTTTGAAATAAAATTACAATTATTCACAAACATACGATACAAAATAATGTAGTTAAACTTAGTATCGTTACAATTTTATAACATTGAAATGATAGAGTAATATATATCAATATTATAAATTATTTCACAAATAAAAAATTATAACATATTAATTAACAAATTTTGGTTTTAGAGAAAAGAACAAAAGAGAATCTAAATTGAAGTTATTTATTTAAATTTTAAAAGAAAATGTGGGTATATATATATGTATATTATGTTGGAATAAAAGAATGAGAAAATTTCAGGCAGACTAAACATGCATATTGAAACCAAATTTCACTTTCTAAAGGATGAAGTCAACAAAGGAAAGATTGAGCTTGTGGAAGTGAAGACCAATTGGCAAACTCACTGGCAAGCCTCTTAGGATAAATAAATTTAAGAAACTTTGGGAGTTTATGGGTGTAATGTCTTTGGATTAAAAGGGGCATAGTGTTAGAGTTTAGGATTAAAGTCTATATAATATACAATCAAAATAAACAGTGAAATTTAGAGTTAATTGAGGAAAGAAAAAGTATAAGAGTTTTGACTTTTTTTGCCCATGAGCTAGGGTCGTGCAGGGTCCAACCCTTAATCTTGGTCCTCTATCATCTTAAGTTGGTGTAAGGTCCAAGCACTTAAATCTGACCATTTTCAAGACAAAATAGAATCCAACTGTTTTGACTTAACCACATGAACAGTTTTTGATCATTATGCTGATGCAAGGCCACCAATTGCAAGAATTTAGTGCTCAACCTAGAAAAAGATTGAGAGATGGAAAGGTATACAATATACATGGTTATAAGAAGAAATTTCTATCACCTATTTGGGAGTTTGATTTGTTTGAAGTTTCTTTGATCTTCTTTTTTAAGTCAAAAGTTTCTATGATCTTATTTGAATGTTTTTTTATAGAAAAAAAGAATGTTACGAATTTAGCACATGAGGAAAAATCAATTGAAAACATTAGTCAGTTAGGTGAGAGCGCACATCTTCAGCACAAAACTATGTTATACATTGTCACTTTCTTCAAAAACCAACATCTACTGCACTTTTCACTCTACTTACACTGATTCAATGCTACATTGCACCATGGTCTATATAGATAGTCCTTTACATGGCCCAAGATCAATTGTTATGATATAAACATCTGTTTTTTTTCTTTCTAAATTAACATGTATTTAAGAGCATATAATATAAATAATAAATGTTTATTAAAATTTATAATATTTAATATAATCCATGCATTAAAATTATTATTATTATTATTATTATTTAACTTTCAATAAAATTTTAATATACACAGATTTTTATTGTATAACTTTAGATACATATTAAAAAGTCAATACATAAATATTTTTTATTTAATAATTTAAATTTTTGTTGAAATATTTTTGAAAAATAAATTATAGTACAAAAAATTGAAAAAGCAACCCCATTTAGTGAGTCCCATATCTGAAGCTATGCGTAATCCATGCAAAATGTCCTTAGATCTGCATTTGCACAATTGTTAAACACCTCACATGGCCAACAAAGCCGATAACCCATTGCCTTCATTGTCTCCTGACACTAAAAATTAAATGTTAAATATATTTTTCATCAAATTACACAAAATTAATTACAAGCAATTTACAACTAAGTATTGTTTATAAGAATAAGTGCTTTATTATATTGGTTTACATTCAATCAATTCTTCAGTTCTTGTAAAATCGAGAAATAATCAATGCGATCAGAATTAATTTACAATCTATATTTATGTTTGATATTAACTTCTCGGTTGGACAATGACAAAGCAAGCATGTTGTAAAAGTTAAATTCTCCCTAAAGTGAATTTGTGAAAATAGATATATCAGCCAAAAGATTGTCCCTAAAGTAAAATTGTTCATCTTCGATTTAATTTTTAGTGCATCGTAATTAGTATTAATTAATTTTATTTTAAAAATAGATATGTCTTTACTTACTAACTCTCAAATGACATCACTATAAAGGAATTTTTTCCATTTACAATCCACTGTTCTAGTTGATTTTGTCTCATGTGATTTCCGATAAATTTGTTTTGAATATTAAGATATCAATAGATTTTTTTATTAATATAACATAATTTGATTAATTAATAGATAAAAGGATAAATTTCATTAACATTTTTATGATATCTCTTTCTTTTCTTATCCTACACATACAAATATCTCGCAATTTATGTATCAATATAATCTGGTACATCTCTTCCATATTAACATAAACAATTTTTAATTTTTTGTATTGTTATATGAAGGGAGGGTCAGTATGATATTAAAATAGAAGGATAACATATATAATTGTATTAAATATTAGAAATATATATTAATGTAATTTATCCTAAACAAAATGGTGATATTTAACTCGCTTATGTATTGAATAGTAACTATTTATTTTTTATATCCTTTCGCTTATCATTCTAGTTTGTATATACACTTTGGAGCTCTCCCTTTCTTATAATATACACTTCATTGGTAATTAACCAAACTCCACCCTCTCTTCCTTTCTTATAATATACACTTCATTGGTAATTAACCAAACTCGATCCTCCCTCCCTTTTTTTTTAATAACTTCATCGGTAATTAACCAAACTCAACCCTTAATTTTGGCATCTTCAATTTTTCTTTATTTCCATGGTTTGGTGATCTTTACTCTTACTTTTTGGTTATCGCTTGGTGGTCCTTTTAACGATTGATGATATAAACGTTTTACAAGTCATATGTAGGATTTCTCAAATCTTAAAAATGCTCTTGTCTGGGTTGTTATGACATTAAATGGGAATCCACTAGATTCACACATAGTTTACATTCGACAAAACCTTAAATACCGAAATGTTTGGTATTGGACCTTCCATATATCATTTTCTTACGTATCGTTCTAAGTTTTCTTATGCATGCATGTCAACAATTCCCACGCACTCTTTTTTCTATTCCCATTTGTTGACCCTCTTTAGTCACTCTTGAATGTGGGGGTCTATTCGTTGGACCAAGCAAATAATGATGCAAACTTTCCCATCTTTTTGTATGCATTGAAATTTTCAAATGAGTATGATTCATTGGTGTATTCAATGTTTTGTTCACTTCTTGCTGCCGGTGGCATAGTTTAATTATACATATATAATATACAATTTTATATAACAAATTGAGGTTCAACTGGGGAAAAGAAGGGAGTGAACTAATTGAGGTTGAATGTATACGGCATTTACGGGATACGATAATATGCTGTACCTTTGGATTTGATATTGTGTTTTTATAAGGGAATTTTATATATTATGATGCTATCAGGGGTTTGCATAACTGAGGACGGTCTATGCACCATATGCTGTTCACAATGAATGCTTAGTTACTTTATTCATGATGCAACTTTCTTCGATACCAGTTTTTTTTTTTTTAATATGCATACTT